CAGAACAAATGACGCTGCTGAAGACCTGACACCTGAAGAAGCCACCGTCGAAGAAGAAACTCTACTCAGTTTTGAGAAGGGAAACGGTGAAGCTCTTAATGAAGTTACTACCACAGATGTGACTGTTACCAATGATAGGACATTTACTGATGAAGCAGATGAACCCCACATGAAGCAGAAGCCAACAAGACGGAGACCAGTACGGAAGAAGATACGTCCCGTAAAATTAAGAGACTTTGTTGAATTGTAATTTTGTGTTTGTAAATTCTGTACATTTAATTAAGTTATTGTTAATTGTTTATTGGTTTAATGTAAGTGGCTATTGTTCGGGATGAACAATACTAAGGAAGGGGAAGTGTTACGACAGCGGAGGTCATGTGACGCTAGTAACACGTCACGCGCTTCTAGAACGTTCATGAAGTCTCGGGAAGTTACTAGATTTCGGCATTCTTGTACATATAAGACGGTCAAGACGTGACGGCAACAATGTGTAATTGAACTGCGGACAGAGAGAGACGTATTGTTGAGCACGTGAGACGTTCGTTGTGAATTATAGCGTTTGTTATTGCATGACCGTGGAAATTAAGTGTATTGCAAAGTTGTATTTAGAAAGAATAAACCAGTTTTATTTAAGAAAAGACTTGTATCGCTAAAGTTTCTTCAGAAAGAAATTGTACGGAAAATTAACTAACGAACGGAGGCGTAACAGTATATTTGTCATTGTGAGAAATATCGCAATAATTTGTAAAGTATTGTTGACAGGAATGGCACACAAATAGAATATTATTTTAAGGAAAGGGCTTATCTTTATTCCACCAATTTCTAAATTATATATGTCCCACGATGGGATAACGGTAAGTCTATGGACTTACAATGCTAGAATTCGGGGCTCAAGTCACAGCAGATAGCCCATTGTGGCTTTGCTCTAAAAAACAAACTCACAAATGATATACCATAGTTGTTAAATATCTTCTATGTATATTATTGTTACGTCTCCGTTTTTTAATTAACTTATTTTCCGTTAACTTCGTACCGACGAAACTTACGCGACACAAGCCTTTACTTAATAAAACTGGTTTATTCTTTCCGAATATAACTTAACCGATACACGAACTCAACAATCGCGCTAAACAAACGCTATAGCAACGAACGTCAAT